TGTGCAGTTACAAACTGATTTAGCCTAGCCAGGTTAGACTTGTTGGAATATGTTTTGAAATATGTTATATCTATACCATTATTATTTAAAATATGTTATACTTATGGTATGACTTTGCTTATGTTATACTTATACTATAATTTTGCTTATGAATGCTTATGCTAAGCCAGCCATTCGCTTATGCTAAGCCAGCCATTCGCTTATGCTAATTAGCCCTCTTAACTGTGTCAACCATTTTCTGAAAAAGCAGCAAGTGAGTCTGTGTAAGTCTGTGTGCTGTGAATGAGGTGGAGTGATGGTTGAATGGAGGCTGGTACCAACCTGCTATAGTAAGTAACAAGATAAGATACAGGGGTCTTAGGAATGTGGAGATGGTACAACATAGGACTAAAAAACAGACTGGAATGTGAAAGACAACACGTAAGTGGTAACAGAATCCGAAATAAACATGCAAAAAGGTGAATGGTGATTGGTAAAGAAGCCTCCAGAAGTTTCCATGCTTTGGTCGAAGGCTGCCCAAAAAGAGATAAAAAGGCAGTGAATAAACAGCCTGATGAGCGCCCTGACCACCAACACCAACCTATCCACATGTTGAGAGAGAGAGAGAGAGAGAGAGAGCCAGCGCCCCCTCTCGACTGGACATTGCCTTGAGGAAGCCTGTGACTGGCCATTGCAGCGTGACTCCAAGAGCCACGGATAGATGACTTAGTGTGAATGGTATGCATGATGAGTGTATGATATGTGTGTGTGGTGTGCTGCTAAATAGTCTGACTCAGTTGCCCACTACTATGCAATAAACCCTGGTTTGCTGAACCCGCATGTTGGTTTTATGTCCAACAGACTAACCTGCAAAGATTGAATAAAAAAGCTCAGGCTTTTTGAATGTCTGTCCCTAGCCATTAAGACTTGCCCTGTGCAGAGCACAGAGTGCAAGCATCTACCTAGAGCCTAGGACCGGGGCCCATGCTGCACTGAAATTAACACAGTCATTCTCACAGCTCACTCCCTTAATTACTACCTTAGTCATTGACTGCTGTACAATTTCTGCATTAAGCACTCCATTGTTCTTCTAATTTATGCCTGGTATATTGATCTCCAACAGCCTGATCATTACAGCATTAACCCTCCTTGTGCCTTCTAAAGAGGAGAACAAAATATGTGTTTCACAGCTGCCAGAGTTGCACTAAAATATAAAACATTGGAACATGCAATTTAACCTGAAAATAATAATTTATTGGTAACAAGACCATGAGGGAGATAAATGCTACAATAAGTTATATTATAGGCACCAGACATGTTCATGGGCAGGATTCTAGGGCTATGCCCCTGATCCACCAAAGCACTGAAGAACTAGCTTTGCTTTACACACAAGGAATCCCTCTGTCCAAGATCCTCAAGGAATTTCAGTGCTAGCTCCTCATTGTTTCAAATACCTGTGAGGATTCTGGGCCATTATTATCAGTTTTCAAAGGGAACTATTACACACTCGAAGCTAATATGCTATTATGCTTTTCTTACAGGATCTAGCCTCAGACAGATGACTGAGCAAAATTTAAGAATCTTTACAACGCCTGAGTGCTCCATGACTCTTGAAGGCACATTTGTTTGGCATAATGAATGAATTCGTAACAGTTTATCAGTACCCAAAAGGTAAAACATTCTTTAGAAAAACTAAGAGGACTAAGACAATTATGTAATGATGAAGTTTAGGGGAAAAGAAAAGCTTTTGAATGTATACCTTATTTTCATGAGACTGGAAGTAATATCCTGCTGTAACTGAGCATAAGTAAACAGGTCATAAACAAGTACTTTTGGATATATATTAGGTCAAAAATCAAAATGCTGAACCTACATCAGAAAGTTGTTTGACAACTGTACCTATGCTACCATGTTGCTTAATGTGATCCTGTCCACTGGAAAGCAGCATAGTATTGCCTGCCTGGCACTGGATTGCCCAGCTGAACAGAATTACAAATCAGTACATGGGGATAGTAGTGCTAACAATCTGCTACAGGTATAAAAATGAATCTTACTGAGAGGACCATGGACTATGGAGGGGGGTTTTTTGCCGTCCTCTGTAGCAGGGGCATGGTCCTCTTTCCTTGGATCTCTCAAGCCTGCTTAATAACCTACTGTTGTCCTTGTGGTGGCAAGACCGCCCTGCTTTACTTGTGTCAATTTAGGGTGTCTTGACACTCCTAGGCTTTGTACCTAGTAGTTGTGCTAGAGGTCTGTTTGTGCAGTTTTAAGAATAGGCTAGAACAGGGGTGTTCAACCTTTGGCCCATGGGCCAGATCCAGCCCTCAGAGCTGTATTATCTGTCCTGTGGGGCTTCCCAAGGGTCTGGAAATTCAGCAGTGAGGAAGCAGTGGTAGCATTAATTGCTGCTTTCCTGCTGCTGAATCTGTGGGAAGCCTCATGGGCCAGATAACATGACTTTGCATGTCAGATTGCACTGGCACATAGCCGAATCCAATAGGTGGGCAGCATGGGGCCAGATAGAAGCCGCGCAGGATTGAATCAGGCAGTGTGGGGCTGGATCAAGGCAACAGGTAGCACAAAGGTGGATCAGCCACCACAGAGCCAGATTGGGCAGCAGGCAGCATATGGCTGGATCAGGGTGGTGCGCAGCTGGATTGGAGCAGCATAGGGCCCCTTGTGCCAGCTGAACTGCTGAAGCAGCCCTAACCTAGAGTGGTCCCTGCACCCTCTACCCACTGCAGCAGTCTAGCAGTGAGGGCTGTTGCCTGGCTATGACTTGCTGCCACCTGCAACAACATCCCCCTTTGGAGCTGCGGCCCCATGGCTCCATGCCTGCCAGACCTGGATGGGGACTGCACAGCCACCTGGGCTGTAGTATGGCACTGCAGCAGAGCCTCCTGCACTTCTGGGCCAGCTGCCAGTGGGCTGTGTCTGCACAGTTAGCCTTCGGGCAGCACTGATATCAAGTCTTCTGGTGCGCCTACCCTGCCATCTGGGCAGCTATCGCCCAGATGTGCTCATTGCGGGGCCCACTTTGAATTGTCTAAGCATGTTCTCTTGGCCCCAAATAGCCAGGTCAGCCACTTCATCTGCCCTCCAGCTGGGTCCCCGGTGCTAGCCCTGGGCAGGCTCCTCTGCCCAGGTCTTACCACTTGTCTCACCAGCAGTGATCCTGGTGCTCCCTGTTTCAAATTTTCAAATTCTCTGATAAAAAACCCGAATTTTCTCACTAAAATACTGAAAACCTGTGTTCTTCCATTATTAAAATGAAATACCACTATATAGAGAGAGATAAGTTGGGCAATGCTTTATTGATATATTTACAATTTTAAGGCAATTTGGAAGCCTACCAGTGCCACTATCATCATCATAAAAATTTCTAACTATCTAGAAATGTTGGCATTTGCTTTTGTTTTTTTAACAATCCGAGCTGCCCCTGCCCCCTTCGCTCACCAGGATGTGGAGCAGTGAGCAGCACTGATATGCCAGTGCCCTGCCCCTGTCCTTGCCCCTCACTCTCAACCCACAGCCCTTCCCAGTGCCCCTCACCCCTGACCCGCAGCCCGGCCTGCCCCCAACTAGCTCCATCCAGGCAGCAGTTCTGTCCAAGCACCAGGGCATGGGTCCAGCAGTAGCTGTCTCACCAGTTGCTTTGTGGCTCTGAACCAGGGGCAAGCAAAATATGGCCCGTGGGCTGCATCTGGGCCACCAGGCACTTTCCTCTGGCCCATGGGGCCCACCAACAAATTGTACCCCACCCAGCCCTTCCACCCACAAGGGTAGGAGCAAGGTGCCTACACCCACCCCCAACATACCCTATTATACTTTGTTCCCACCCTCATGGGTGGAAGGGTCCAGCCCCATCAGCACTGGGCAGGGCTACTGCTGCAGGCTTCACTGGTGTCCCACTCCCTCCGAGCAGCAAATAGGGAAGTGGGGGGCATGGCTCCAGCTGGGCAGGGTGCGGAGCATGGGGCTGGGGCTGGTGGCATTGCGGTGCCCGTGCCCAGGGGGGCAGCAGTAGCATGGAGTTTGGCTGCGCAGGGTGTGGGTGTGAGCGGGGGGGCATAGGGACCCCTCCCACACTCCCCCTATGGCCTGCAGCCCTGGCAGGCAGCAAGGTAGCAGCAGCAGCAGCAGGCAGGGGTGCCCATGCTCTGCACTGGTGTCTGACTGGCCAGCGCTGCACATCATGGTGAGCACAGCCCCTGCTGGGCTGTCTGTTTCACCAGCACTCCCCGCACTCATGCAGCATGGGAGTGAAGCTCCAGGCACAAGAGGGAAGCCCCAGGTGCTGGAGCCAGATGCGGCAGAGAAGGTATCCAACTCCAGCACCTGGGGCTTCCCTCCTGTGTAGCGTGAGTGTGGACAGCATTGGCGATAGACACTGCCTAGCAGGTAGCTGCACTCCTTGATGCGATGTGCAGTGCTGGCTGAAGCTGGGCACCAGCAACCTGAGTGCCCCTGCCTGCTGCTGCACCATGGAAGGAGTGGGGGGGGTCCCCAAACCCTTCCCACCCTCCCTCACACCCCACAAATGCCACACACCCACACCACAAAGTTGCCTGCATGGACTGCAGGAGAGGTCAGTGTGTTCCAGAACCACATACCCACACCCTCCAAACACCACACAATCCCCAACATAACCTATTCCCCTCCACACACAGCCACACACCACCACACACACACACACACACACACACACACACACACACACCACCATACACCTCCCCCCCACCATACATACACAGCTCCACACAATATAGAAAACTAAGACTTTATTTTTAAGGTATTATGCAATCACCTCTATATACAGTATGAAAACACAAATCATGACAAAAAATGGTTTTGTAATAAAATTAAAATATGTTATAGTAGGTGTTTGACTTTTAGTGTATGATTTGTTTTTTTCTGGTTCTAAGATGGCAACTTGCCCTCCCTCCCAAAAGGAGTATTTCCAGGGGAACAAGGGCAGGGACTTTCAGTGGCAAAAGTCAGGGGTTTGGGTGGGACTTCTGGTCTCAAGATGGTGACCAGGAAGCGGGGCAACTGTCAACGGGCAGGGCTACCCATGAGGCCCTTGAAAGTTCACCAAACCTTGTTAAGCAGCCCTCCACCTGCAATAATTGCCTGCCCTTGCTCTGAGTAGTGCCATCCCTTGCCGTTCTGCTCCCTGCACCTGTGTCCAGGCCCCAGCAATCCCTATGCGACTCCTGGGGCTCAGGGTCTGGGCTGGGCAAGGCCCTTCCCTTCCAGGCCGGTCTCCCCCTGCACAGGCTTCTCTAGGGAAGCAGGGGGGCTCTTGGCCTGGCTCTGGCGGCCTCTCCTACCCAGAGCTCTCCCCTACCCCCAACCCCCATCTCTCTTTCTCTCTCTCACACACACACACCCCTGCTGCCACCTGCCCCCTCCCCACAGCCCATCACAACCCACAAGTGGTTCCTGGGACCAGAGCGCCCCCAGGCTGGGGCTGCATATCCCAGCCCTGGGGTGACACAGGGAAGGGCTGCAGTGTGACAGTTGCCCCTACAGCTGCAGCTCCCACCAGCAGGTCCTGTTTCATTCCATGTGGCCAGCTGGGCATGCAGGGTGTGAGATCTTTGGGGGGGATGTGGGATTTAGGGTGGGAGGGGTGGGTGTGGGGTTTGTGGGGGGATTGGGTGGGTGTAGGGTTTGTGGGGGTGAGGTTTGTGAGGGGTATGGGGCTTGTGTGGGGGGTTGGAATTTGTGGCTGAGTATAGCGGTGAGGGGTTTGTGGGAGTGGTTTGGGGGTGTGGGGTTTGTGGGCAGATTGTTGGGGGTTTTGTGGGTATGAGGGGATCATGTGGGTGTGGGGGGGTTGCTTGGGAGGAGTGGGTTCCCTGCCTGCCCCCCGCAGGGTGCACAGCCCTCCTGCAGCAGCAGCTGTCCGGCGCTCAGGGCCTGCCCCCCTCAGTGCAGTGCAGCCCCAGGCCACTCTGGCTGTCACCTGGGGTCCGAACACTGTACGCAGGGGCCACGCATTGTGCTGGGCCATGGAGTTGGCCTGTCCCGATGGCGTACAGGGCACTTGGAGACAGGACCTGGCCTAATGCATGGCCCCTGCAAGCAATGCTGGGACCCCAGGTGAAAGCCAGGGTGGCCCAGTGCTACCCAAAGGTGCACATCCTGATGCCAGGCTGGGCCCATGACATATGGCACAGGCAGCGCTGGGTCTGAGGTGGCTGGAGCCGTGCCATGCTGCAGGGGTCTCTGCCAGCAGTGGGCCCTGAGCGCCTGGCGGCTGCTGCTGCTGCTGCTGCTGCAGTAGGGGGGCTGTGCACTGTGCAGGGGGTAGGCAGGGGACCCACCCCACACTCACACAGTCCTCCCACACACAATCCCCATCCCCACCTCCACAGTCCTACTTACCTAGCATCTGGGTCCAGGTCACACTGCAGCCTTGCCCCACTTCTATTTACCCCAGCATGCTGAGGCAGTGTGCTAGGGTAGCAGGGGAAGGGGGCAACTATAGAGACACTCTGGCAAGATGCCAGAGCAAGTTTTTGGAGGACTCAGACTCTGGCAGTGGCGTACCGTGGGTCTCCAGCACCCAGGGGCCAATGCTTGCATTTGTGCCCCCCCCCCCCCGGGACAATCTGATCAGGGTGCAGGACCTGAAGCAAATCAGCCTATGCGGGGCCCCACCTCCTGCCCCATGGCACATCAACAGGGGAGTTAGCAGCATGGCACACCAGTTGTGGGGGAGGGGCAGCAGCCAGAATTTCCATCTGGAACAGCCAAAGAAAGCTACAACCCGCCCAGCAGAAGGGTGGGCCACTCACAAAATGCAGGAGATGCCCCAGCCTCTCTGGCCGGTGCCCCCCCAGCCAGGGCCCAGGGGCCATGCCCCACTCCCACTCTCCCCCCACCCCTGCCCGTCGGTACGCCACTGCCTTAGGGCACGCTACAGAAACATAACTTGGCCTGCTTTTTTCCATGGTTTTTTTTTTTATACCTAGATTTCCAGGTATTGAATTTAGAGCCCATGCTGCAAATATGGGGAACATTTTTTTCCCAGTGTGCCTCTTGCAGCATCTCAAACTGCTTTGAGATGCCACAACAGACACGTGCACGCTCATCTAGATGTACACCTTGTGTTCAAGGCACTAAACTAACAGGTGTCAAGCTAGTCACTAGCTGCCTGGGCAATGTTTCTTTTTTTCACTTTCCAAGCAGGTTGTTAGTTAAGTGTTTTTAACCTTCCTTTGAAGCATCTGTTACTGTCTGGTGTTAGAGACAGATAGCCAAGAGACTTTAGGTTTAATTGCAGAGGGGAAACTTTATAAAGTGTTTGTAAATAGCAGGGAAGTTGTATGGTCTAATAGAGACAAATAGCCAAGAGACATAGGCCTGTCTCTAAGATGGTCACTTTCCAACTTCCAAAATCCACATACCAGCCTACAGATAAAAGTGCTTTAATCAGCTGAATTTGGGACTTCTTCCCCAATTCCCCACACCTTCCAAGTTGAATTAGGAAAGCGATGTTTGCCCACCTGCTAAGAAATCTTTAATATGTGGGGGTCTTTAATATGTGGAGGGTTCTCCAAACCTGCCATGTTTCTATGGTTCCGCCACTGATGAAACCTGCTTTCAGAACTACATGGTTCAACTTCCTTGTTTTCATTTTTGAAAATATGATCCCAGTTTCAGATCTGGAGTAATTTTAAAACTCTGGCTCCAGATGTTTACGAAAGTGCTCGATAAAACTAATGGAAAAACTGATCACAACATTAACTCATATTGGTATGGATGTCCTATGTCAGCCTGACAGAAAGAATACTAATGCAGGACAACAGATTGAAAGGCAAGAGATATCTACAGAGGTTGCTTCCTGGATTAAGGATTAGTCCAATCTTCGTTCCTATTTTAGAAAAGCCCTTAACCATATGCTTAAGTATCTTTCCTGAAAATGGGGTTTATTTATTATTTACATTAAAGACCTGTGAATAAAGAGCTGATTAAACTGTTGTTAAATTGACATTGTTGCAAGCTAACAAAGCACATGAGTAACTTTAAGGAAGTGACTTCCTGCCTGTGGCAGAGGGTCAGGCTAGATGATCTGATCAGGTCCCTCCTGACCCTAGCTACTATGATACTATGATACTACTATTACTTCTATAGGGTTACTCACTTGCCTAAAATTAAGCACATGCTTAAATGTGCTGCTGATTGGAATAATTTAACAACCTCAGTGGGTGCGTCTACATGTGCACTTTAATGCGCAGTAGACTATTTTACTGCACATTAAAATGTCATGTAAAAACCTGTGGCATTAAAGTAATGTACAGTAAAATAGTCTACTGCACATTAAGTGTCACTAAAAAAGTGTTCAAATGTGCTATTGTGTATCAGTGCAGCCTAATGCACATTAATTTAGTGCCTCACATTGGATGTACTAAATTTAATGCATATTAGAAAAGGTATATTAATGCACATGTAGACATACCCAGTAAGACCAAAACTATATTTTTAAGCCATAAAGCTGCCCTTTCTCTTGCTACTCTAAAAAATAATCACAAGTTATTCATACAAAATATTTGGAATCCAACAGCTGACTTCAAAGTGAGCAAATTCTGTGGCCTGAACGTTTTGGCACTTTGTTTTGCAAAACTATTCATTACCTACTTTCCCACTCTTGCCCTTTTATATAATAACCTAACATCATATTTTTCTTAAAAGTTGGTGAGCTGTCTGGAGTGGCTATATTTTAATTGTCAGATGAGTAAAAAGCCAACTTCTCGACAGAAGTCGAGCAGCACTCGACAGCACCAAACAGTAATATATTTCAGCCATTATCTCTGAGGTCTAATCCTGTAAATCTTTATATCTTAATCACTTCAGTAACACTTACTCTTGTGAGTTGCCCCACTGGGCTGAGCAAAACCAGACATGAGTCGTTGTACTACTACTTTTAAGCAGAATTGCCCCTGGACTGGAATGGAGAGCACCAATTAAAAATGGATGGCATAGTCTGAGCCAGCATGAGTACCAAACCTAGTCTTTGCAGTGGGACCAAGCCCTTACTTTAGTCCCTGCTTCATCCAAGCATCACAGCCATTCAGCTGTGTGTTACTACTATGGTTTTAATGAAGGAAAGTATATTATCAGAAATGAAACAGAACTATTTATTTTGGAATGATCCTGTGGGGGTTGGGGTGGGGAGGAAGATTCTTGTGCACTTAAATTTTAAATAGGAGATGGTGGGCAAACCTTAGCCAGCACGTTTTCCCTTAATCAGTCCCTGGGCACTAGCAGATGGGGCTTCCCAATTCCAACTGCTAATGCTTTCCATGTTTGCACTCCACATCAGGGGACTGAGCTTGCCAAGTCTGAACTAAAACTGCTGATATACCAAAGGGGCCAATGATAAACAGAGCAACCTCAGAGCACATGAGCCAAAATCATGGGATGGTGAAAACCTCTGTGAACAGCAACCTAGGGAACTAGAAGCTCAGATCATGGAATATGAGGTCCTAATTCTGCAAGGTGCAGAAGCAACAACCCCTCCTATGCACACAAGTAGTGCTATTAGCTTCACCCAGACAGCTGCACAAAACGAGGCACACATTTAAGTACTTTGGGCTCTTAACAGTGAAAAGTTAGAACTACTGGCAATTAGTATAAAAATATATATATTTTAAAAGTCCCACTGGGTAATCTGTAGTTTAGTATAGTACTCACTGAGTACTGTACCTACTAAAATCTATCTTACAGAACAATCTGACTCTTTTCTCATTAATGACCTACAAATATTAAGGCAGCCTGCAAAAGTTATATTTCATAGGTTCTTTTGTGGAGCTCACTATCTTTGATAGCTTGGCTTGTTTATTCTTTGAATACAAGTGTCCAAAATTCCTGAGCTGAGAAATTCATGTTCCTTTCCACTAGTAGCCTCAATGCTTGGGCTTCTTTCTTGGACTGTTCAAAGCTTGGTATCCACATATCTCTTAGAGAGGCCCGGTGCACATTTGGAGAGGAGAACAAGAAAGCCTGAGGCTTGGGGCAGCTCAGGTGGTTAACCTCTGCATTCCATCTCCTGGGTAAGAATCCCTGGAAACACAGAAGAAATAAACTGGTTTAATTGGACTAGACAACAGGACAGATAGCTGCAGTGATGTTATTGATGAGGATCAAGTTATCTTCCCCTCCCTAATTCCCAGTGACATATTCACACATAGCTTCTCTCACTGAAGGAGCATCTCTGCAGTACCAGCTGTGGAACGTTGCCACCCTGACATAAGACCTCTGTGATGCCAGAGAATGGACAAGGCACAAGCAGTGAATATGAGCTTTTCCCTGTGTCACTCTAACAGTGCCCTGGCCTGGAGAGTGAAAAAGGAGGCAGATTTTCTGCTAATACTTGACAGCAGAGGTCCTGGGGCTGGCTTTTAGACAGAGAAAACCTCGTTACTGGAAACTGGACTAGGACTAGGTTTGTTTCACACAACCTACCAAAAGAACTCATCAGGCAGAATCTGGAAGCTTTTCCTACAGAGGTGGGCTAGACTGAAATGATAGCTGGGGGGCAGAAACTTCTTTTAGGTAGCAATTCAGAGTCACTTATGGGGCATATTCTAATTCCTACTATAAGGTCTGGTTCTATGCCCACTGAAACCATGGCAAATCTTCTGCTGATTTCAGATAAGATGCATGGAAAATACCCAGAATTTCAGCCCATATAAGCTGGCAAAGCTCTGACTTTAAAGGCTAGATTCTATTTTATCTACTGGGCATCTAATTGTGCTTAGGCAGGTAAGTGCAATTCTATTCCACCCTGTTTAAATCCTGAAAATCTGTCGGTGCATCTACTTTTGCTGTAACATACCAGCATCTGACCCTTAACACTGAGTCACCATAAAAAATCCTGTCTCTTCAGAAAAACTGCATAGAAATCACCCATTTTGGTGAACTGTGCTAGTAAAGGTGACTTTAATATGCAGGGCACAATTTCTATTCCCCTTCAAGTAATGAAAATTACTCAGTCCCAACTCCTCTATAAAATACAATTAATTTTCCTAAATATTTCCTCTGTTTCCCCATGCTGGTTGACAATACAACGCTGCAGTTCAGATTACTATTGGAGAAAACAGCAAAATGTATATCACAAGAAAGACTGTAATAATGTGAATATAAGCAGACATGAAACTAATTCAATCCATACTGATAAATGACCAAAAAGAAATTATTTAAAAAGTCAGCTGATTTGGGGTACTTCTTTTCTTTGTGACCGCCTAAATATTTTTGACACCCAAAGTCAGTGGCTGTTTCACAATTTGGCTGCTTGTTTTTACTGTGTCACAGTTTAGAGCTACACAAGGAATGAGCTCATTTTTTCAATCGAATTCCATGTGTATCAGGAAAATCCACAATTACCCCATCTCAGGGGAAAGGCTATCAGGACTGAACTAATCCAACTGAAGCATTTCTGAGGCAGCACTGGGAAGCCTGCACTGTATCCATTCTATAAATACCACCATATTTTATGTGGTGGTTGTCAATATACCTCCAAAGAGATCCTGCTACCACCAACAATAGCTTCACTTAAAACATCAAAGCACAAGGGCAATGCACAGAGTACCTTTTCCTGCCTTCTGATGTTTTCCCACACTTTATGACACACCATGCACTCAAACACATCAATGTAGTTGTCCTGCGTGATATCTTGGACTCCCCACTTGCGTTCCTTCATAGCAGTGAGCAGCCTTTTATTGGAAATGTCTCCTTTCAGTTTCCATTCAAGGTAGGCCACATATTCTTGGTCATTTGTGTCCAGGGCCTTGATGTACTGGGCCAGCTCCCTGGGATGTGAAAATCTTGTTACTAAAATTGCACTCTTATTGCTAGGAAGCCAGTCTGCAATGCTAGGGGATCCAAAATACACTGGCACCACTCCCAATTTTAGTGGCCTCCAGAGTTTTTCAGTGATATAGTCCTCACAGACTGCATTTTCAAAAGCCAGAATGAATTTGTACTGAGCTAGTATTGTGTAGAAGCTCCCATCATCCATGGAGGCAGGATTTTTGAGGTGCTGAGGAAGGTCACGGTTATGCAAGCATTCCCCATAGGAGTCCACCTCAATGTAGCTCATCAGCTCACTCACATAGCTGTCCCGGTCAGAGGGAGGGTCGCAGTCTGACTGCACATACACAAGTGGTGCTAGCCTTTTCCTCAAGCTGTTTTTCTTCTGCAAAGGGATCATGTATCGCAAAGACTTCAGGACCTCTATGCCCTCCAGGTACTGAGTAGTCAGTGGCAGGTGGGAGTGGCGACTAAACGTAGCTGTGTGGTTAAACAAGGTGATGGTAGGTTTATGGAAAAGTTTGTAGTTGTTTTTGGGTGACTCTTCATGGAAAAGGGCCCAGTCGTGATGGCCTTTACGAGGGAGAGGTAAGCTCTCTATGTTAAAGTCAGTACCTAGACAGAAATAAATGGAATTAGACTTATATTTAATATGTTCAACAAAAAAGTGTATTTAGAATGTACCTGAAATACTTGGGGCCCAAATGTGCCTCCATTACTCATGTGAAGCTCCCCCAGCTCACAACAGCTCACCAAAACTCCCTAAGTCAGGGATTTTCAACCTTTTTTAGTTTAAGTACCCCCAGTGTCCAGATGCCAAGCTGGGGCAGGTGGCAGAGGGCAGTGCACAGCCAGATGCCGGGGGGTAGTGTGCAGCCAGACACAGAGCAGGGAGGTGAGGACGGTGCATGGGCAGGCTGGGACTGAGTGCTGCAGCCTCCCAGGAGCAGGGTTGGGGCGGGGGCGGGGAAGCTCACTGGGCTGGGGTGAGAGCAACAGCACCACTCTACAGGGCAGGGAAGCTCACTGGGCTGGTGTATGGCAGTGGCGGCCACCACATGCAAGCTTCCTTGCCCCACAGAGGAGCGCTGCTGCCCTTGCCCCACTCCGGCCTTGCTCCTGGGAGGCTGCAGCACTCAGTCCCAGCCTGCCCATGCACCGTCCTCACCTCCCTGCTCTGTGTCTGGCTGCACACTACCCCCCGGCATCTGGCGCTGGCACTGCCCCAACATCCCAGCCCCAGCCCTGGCCCTGCCTATCCATCCTGCTCCTGGATGCCACTCCCTGCCCACTCACAGCCCCATCCCATCCACCTGGCTGAGCACGCCCTGCCTGCGTGGATCCTGGACCAGTCTCCATGGAGACCCCAACCACCTACTCTGTCCAGTGCCCCTGGTGGTGGGTGCGGAGCAGACAGACCAGGGTGCCCAGGCAGTGGAGCTTGGTCCAGCAGTGGTGGTGACACTGGCAGCGACAGCTGAAAGGAGCCACTGCCACCAGAGAAGCCAGGAAGCACAGTCCAGCCACCATCCTAGCTCTGCTGCACACCCAGGGGTGACAGGACCAGCTGCATACCCCACTGCCCAGCCTACCCCTCCATGGCTGGGCCAGGTGGGACTGAGGGACCCACCACAGGACAGATAAAATCCCCTAGTGGGCCAGATCCATCCCACAGGCCATATTTTGCCCAGCACTGAGGTAGATGGATACAATGCAGATAATATACAGCTCAACGACAGTTCACTAGTTCTAGTCTTCACAGATAAGATCTAAGTGACAGCTCAAGCAATATACAAGTAAGAACTGAAAGACAGTCCCACACTACAAAATAGATAGGTTTGGTAGTTATTTATTAAAACCCCTAAATCTATAAAGAACCCAACAGTACCCAATTCCACCTTTACATTAGAAGGCAAAGAAATATAAGAGATAAATCAGTTCATATACCATGGCTGTCATGAAGAAGCTGACAAGGATGTCAAGAAGGAACTAATATCATGACTTGGAAAGGTGGCACTTATATTCACAAGTTCAAACAAGAGTTGGTTATTGAAAATTTATAGCCTATACACCAAGCTACAAATCTTCAAGTCAAATAATATTTCCATCCTCACATATGGATATAAGTACAGATATCTAAGTGCCTCTGAAAGCAAACATTTTAGAACAGGGGTACCCAATCTCCAAATGAATCCTGCAAAGCCACCACATCTGGGTCATGGGGCTCCCATGGGTTGGGAAATTTGGCAGTGGGGGGGCAGTGGCCATTAAATATAGCCACCTGTCCCCCTACCAAATCCCCAACCCCCATGCCCCACACAGCAGCTGTGTCCCTTTCTCCCCCCCCCCCACGGGGACTGGGGCATGCCCCCCCCCCCCCACTGTGGGACTGGGACATGCCCCCTCCCACCTACAGCTGGATTGGGGGTTTGATCACACCCCCTCCCACCCCTCTTCCCTTCCTGTGGGGCCAGGTCAAGCCTCCTTCCCTCCTAGAGCTGGGGTGGGACTGGGCTGCCCCCCCTCCCACAAAAACCTGCTCTATGCAGCTGGATGGGGCTGGTTGCACCCACTCCAGATTCCAGATTGGGACTGCTGGCCAAATCCAGCCCACAGAAGGACTTGGCACTGTTCATCCAGCCCACTGGACAAAAAGGTTGAGCACCACTGCTTTAGAAAAGTCCAATGGATAAATAACAAATGCTGAGGTTCATCATAGGTATTGGAATATCTGCAACAAATGCAAAAAACGAATCCAGAGCATATGCTGGAGTGCAATTGGGCAGATGGGCAACCCTTCCAGAAGCCAACTGAAAGAAGACCACTGTTCAGAGACAGAAAACTTATGGGACATACCAAGAGAGGGGGCATGCAATGACATTTTCCAGGATAGAAAAGGATAGCAGGATGTAGACTTTGGTACTACTGAATTTGACCTTTCCTCTCCAGCACATTTGTTTGACTAGATATGATCTGTTTTGGGATTAACTGTGAAGCAGCTAGCCCCACCTTCCCCCTTCTCCTTTCCCTCCCCCTCCAGTATCAGGACAGTTCTTTCATGACTTAAGGCTTGAACATACCAGGTTTGATTTCGTTTAAATGCTGGTCATAGAAGTGTGGTATTTTAATCATTATTTTTAATGAAGGGGATACACCTATGGGACAAACTTCTTGATGACAAGCAGTGAATGAAACTAGTGTCTGACCGTCTTTAGAAAATATACAATTAAACCCTCTCCACAAACCACCATTTATATTACAATACTGACACCGTCATCTGCCTTCAACTCTGGTGAACCGAGGAAATTGACAAAATTTAAAGCAACAACCATACTCCAAGCAGACTTTTGACTTGAGAGCAGGAGAAGTGCCAGAGAACGCTTAATGCTGAGTGAGGATTTCTCTTTTGCTATTACCTGAATTATCTGAATGCTACCCAGATGTCAGGGTGACTGACAACAGTACAAAACCCTAAGGGTATGTCTACATGGCAGGATGTAGTGTCACGCAGAGTGATCCAAGCTGGCTCTACATGTATTAGCTTTGGTATCAGAAGCAGTATAACTATATTAGCAGGACAGACCACCCAGAGAGTATACCTTGGTCCTCAGCAGAGTGCTCTGCTAATGCAGCTATTCTGCTTCTGGTACTAAAGTCAGCTCTGAATGAGCTAGTTGAGGTATGTCTTGCACAATGCTGCGTTATCCTGTGTAGAGACATAAGATGTGAGAAAAAGAGCAAAAGCCACAAAATACAAATGGGCGGTATATGGGGGACATGGGGAAATAAACACATGCTTTATTCTCCTTTAATGCAGATGGGTATCCCTGTGGTGCGACCTTATCCCACTAGGATGAGGCACCAAATGGCACATTATGTAACTGTATCTGCCTTCTTATTTTTTACAGTATTTCTGTGATATGAGAAGCTAGAGCCAGTGAGGGACTCCATCTTCATATTCAGCACAGCAAAAACTTTGAGGTCTATTTTTTAAAAACTCATCTTCCAAATGCAACTAGGAATACATGAAGAAACAGCAGAGTATAGATGACATTGAAGTACCAGAACTGAAGTGATAGTCACTCTAAGCTGACTGCTAGGTGGACTCTTCCTTTCAGTCAGGGTGAAGGAAGAAAGGAATATCAAAATGATGGAAGAAAGAAGACCATGGTGGGCAGAGAAAATGGAAGCAACTGAGGCTTATGCAAAGAGAAACCTGCAGAAACATATGCTATAGATAAAAGCACTGAAATGATTGATTCCAACATAACACACTTAATCAATCTTAGTCAAGAAGTAGACAAAGCTTTTAAGGATTAAATAGATGATAATAACAGTATGTTACCTGCCACCCTAGGACAAAAGGGAATTAATAGGTTTATGATGAGATAAAGGACGCAGAACAAGATTATAATTATGAATGATCTTGACTTCCAAAGTATTAATTAGGAAACCTCTGATATGTGGCAAAGTGCGGACAGGAACGATAGATGTATTGAGGGAAGGTTCTGCTTCTTTAAAGCAACCCTACACACAAGAGTCTTGTCCAGCAAATGACAGGCTGGACACTGGGGCTGTGCAAAGCTTCAAGTGCTGATTCAATTTGGAGGAGATTCGGCCCGATTCGGTGCCCGAATCTTTGAATCCAAATCGAATCAGGGGACCAATTAAAAGGTTTGAATCTATTCAAAGCACTCCGAATCAATTTGGAAAAGATTCGGAGAGCTTCGGTGATTCGGGCAGTCCCTGCCTGCTGCAGCAGGGAGCTGGACCCAGACTCCAAGCTGGTAAGTAGGGAGAGGTGGAGGGAGGGCGGGGTTGGAGGAGGGGGGGAGGGGACCATGGG